CCTGGCGCCTCCTCCACCGGGTCGACCTCACGCGTGGAGGAGGCGCTGCTCGAGAGCAGGTCATGACCCCTTTGGTGCTCTGATATCCTCATCCTGTCACTTATAACCATGCTAACTGAGCTCCCGCTCCTGCAGTCCCATCATGGAGGCCTTCGGGAACGCCAAGACCGTCTACAACAACAACTCCAGCCGCTTCGGAAAGTTCATCCAGCTGCACTTCAGCCAGAAGGGAAACATCCAGGGAGGTCGGATCGTCGACTGTATCCTCCCAAATCCTTGAATGGGAGGGGGGGGGGGGGGGTGGGGGGACTGAAGCTAACTGTTAACTAGTTTGTGCGTCGCAGACGAGTTTTTCCATCCTTGACACGAATGTTTTCCAACGTCAGACCTTTTAGAAAAGGTGAGGAACCGTCTTCATGTGAACACATTCAAATCAAAGGAAAAACCTTTGATCCTTTTTGTTCTCTTCTCAGAACCGTGTGGTCCGACAGAACCCAGGAGAAAGAAACTACCACATCTTCTATGCTCTGCTAGCAGGAGCTAACAGTGAGCAGCGAGGTGAGTGGAGAACTAGCTACAAGTCCACATACAAAGACAAATGCTAAAGGCTAGCCAAAACACATCAACCTAAAAAATACTACAATATACAGGAATATAATAAAATATATTTTAATATGTTGACCAAAATAAGGCTAACTAGAAATTTGCTAAAGCTAGGTAAGGCAGAAGCTAAGTTTTGGTAGCCTCAAAATAGTTAGTTAGTTAGCGAAATGTTCAAAATACTGAGCAAAACCTAACAAAGGCGCCACGTAGAGTTAGCTTTGGGAAATACGTGAAGTAATGTGGAAAATAGAGGAGGAAGTGGTTCTCTGGTTTCTGAGCAAACAGGAAATGGAAGCTAAGCTAACTGGTTTACCAAGCTGACTGTATTTTTCTAGATTAAAGTAAACATTTAGCTTCTATGTTTGCAGTTTTATAAAACGGACACAAAAGCTAGTTAGCGACCTAGCAAGGATGCTACTGTTAAGCACTCCAGAAACTGTGCTACAGAAACTGGAATGAACCGGTTTGTGAAGGAACACGTGCTAGCTCGTCTGTGTGAACAACGGTTAATGTGTTTGTTTGGGCTAATTAGGCCTTAAGCTAACAGATGTAGCTGCAATGCTAATGTGTGACTCTTTCTCAACAGAAGCGTTCCGGTTGACACAGGCCGACAGTTACCACTACCTGAGGCAGTCGCACCGCGTCAGTGACGAGACAATCAACGACACAGGCACTTTTCAGGACGTTCTTGTACGAACAAAAACACACACACACACACACACACACACACACAAACGTTAGCTTTAGCACAAAGACTTTCTGAACGAGGCGGGGCGGGGCTTATTTACTTTAGTCTGTGTGTGTACTGGTTTTTCTGGACGTTTCCAAACCAAACGTCTTGCTAACCTTTAGAATGTAGCGTAGAATCGAACACCTGACCAGGCGTTAGCACCGGTTCACCACAACGTTAGCCACCATTAGCAGAGGCACAGGTAACATCCACACTTTCTGGGTTTTCTTTCCCAGAATGCAATGAGAACGATGCAGTTCTCAGAGGAGAACATCATGGAGATCCTGAAACTTCTGTCAGGAATCCTTCACACGGGGAACATTGAGTTCATGACAGCAGGGGGCGCTCAGGTGTCCTCCAAGTCAGGTAGGAGTTCTTCTCCTGTTTTCACGGTGTTCTGGTGGTGGCTTCTGATGTTGCGGTGAGGTTCTGATTGGGTTCTGTCCATGTTCTCCACACCTGGGCAGCTCTGGGCTGGACGGCCGACCTGCTGGGCCTCAACTCGGACCAGTTGGCTGAGGTTCTGACCCACAGATCCATGATCCTGAGGGGAGAAGAGATCTCCACACCACTCACCGTGGAGCAGGTCAGTGTCGGTGACGGTCGTCTGAACCTCCCTGTCTCCTCCTCCTTCTCCACTGAGACTTGTCCCCCTTGTCCCCCTTGTCCCCCTTGTCTCCTGGCAGGCGCTGGACTCCAGAGACTCCATGTCCATGGCTCTTTATTCCCAGTGTTTTAACTGGATCATCAGGAAACTCAACGACCGGATCAGAGGCCGAGAAGACTTCAGGTCCATCAGCATCCTGGACATCTTTGGCTTTGAGAACTTTGAGGTGAGACGGCTCAGAACTTCTACATACGCTGATGATACTCTGAAATGACACAGAAGTCAAGAGCTCTCCTCCTCTTCCTCTTCCTCGTCCTCGTCCTCGTCCTCGTCCTCCTGCAGGTCAACAGATTTGAACAGTTCAACATCAACTATGCTAACGAGAAGCTGCAGGAATACTTCAACAAACACATCTTCTCCCTGGAGCAGCTGCAGTACAACAAGTAGGTTCACTGCATTTAGCCAGGGCGCCCCCTCCTGGTACAACAAAATACACAAAGACACAGCAGCTGCTGGTCCTCTGCTGCCTCCTGTGGTCAGTTTGTGTCACACATTCAGACTTGGTGACGGCTTTTTTTCCTGCGAACTTTGGTGAAAATGTGAATTCAGTGGTTTTTAACGTGAAGATTTGTTGAATCAGATCAGTGTTTGATTGGTTCTGTCTGTTCCACAGAGAGGGTCTGGTCTGGGTGGACGTGGACTGGATGGACAACGGAGAGTGTCTGGATCTGATAGAGAAGGTGAGGAGGTTCACTGATGAAGAAGATGATGAAGATGATGATGATGAAGATGATGATGGTGATGATGGTGATGATGATGATGATGGGGATGATGATGGTGATGGTGATGGTGATGGTGATGATGATGATGATGGGGATGATGATGGTGATGGTGATGATGATGATGAAGATGATGATGGTGATGATGAAGATGGTGATGATGATGATGATGACGATGATGATGATGTTGAAGATGATGATGATGAAGATGATGAAGATGATGGTGATGATGATGATGAAGATGATGATGGTGATGATGGTGATGATGATGATGGAGATGATGATGATGATGGTGATGATGGTGATGATGATGATGATGACGATGGTGATGATGAAGATGATGGTGATGATGACGATGATGATGGTGATGATGAAGATGATTATGGGGATGATGAAGATGATGATGAAGATGGTGATGATGAAGATGATTATGGGGATGATGAAGATGATGATGAAGATGGTGATGATGGTGATGATGATGATGATGTGACGATGATGATGATGGTAATGATGATGATGGTGATGATGAAGATGATGATGAAGATGGTGATGATGATGATGATGGGGATGATGATGATGAAGATGATGATGATGATGGTGGTGATGGTGATGATGATGATGATGGTGATGGTGATGATGATGATGAAGATGATGATGATGGCGCTGATGAAGATGATGATGATGATGTTGATGATGATGGGGATGATGATGGGGGTGGGGATGATGATGATGAGGATGATGATGATGAAGATGATGATGAAGATGGTGATGATGATGATGATGTGACGATGATGATGGTGAAGATGAAGATGATGATGAAGATGATGATGATGGCGCTGATGAAGATGATGATGATGATGGTGACGATGGTAATGATGATGATGATGAGGATGATGATGATGAAGATGATGATGAAGATGGTGATGATGGTGATGATGATGATGGTAATGATGATGGTGACGATGATGATGATGATGATGGTAATGGTGATGATGATGATGATGACGATGGTGATGATGATGATGATGATGGAGATGATGATGATGATGGTGACGATGATGATGATGAAGATGATGATGAAGATGGTGATGATGGTGATGATGATGATGAAGATGATGAAGATGATGATGATGGCGCTGATGAAGATGATGATGATGATGATGTTGAAGATGATGATGATGAAGATGATGAAGATGATGATGATGGTGATGACCCTCATGATGATGACGATGATGATGGTGATGATGAGGATGATGATGATGAAGATGATGAAGATGATGGTGATGATGAAGATGGTGATGATGGTGATGATGATGATGGAGATGATGATGATGAAGGTGATGATGAAGATGATGGTGATGATGAAGATGGTGATGATGATGAAGATGATGATGATGAAGATGATGAAGATGATGGTGATGATGATGATGAAGATGATGATGGTGATGATGGTGATGATGATGATGAAGATGATGAAGATGATGGTGATGATGACGATGATGATGATGTTGAAGATGATGATGATGGTGGGGATGATGTTGAAGATGATGATGATGAAGATGATGAAGATGATGGTGATGATGATGATGGAGATGATGATGATGATGGTGACGATGATGATGATGATGATGGTGGTGATGATGTCATCCTCTCAGAAACTGGGTCTCCTGGCACTGATGAATGAGGAGAGCCACTTCCCTAAAGCCACAGACGACACGTTACTGGAGAAGCTGCACAGCCAACACTCGGTATTGTCTTGTTCTTCTTCACTCTTCATCCTCTAGGTGTCGCTAACAACTGTTGTAGAGGTTTGTGGTTTCACCTCCAGTCTGATGATGTCGACTTAGTGAGTCCTTCAGACAGAAACATAACAGACAGAACAGCCCAGACCAGGGTCAGGGACGTGAACGAGGCTGAAACAGTTCCAGGAACCATGTTTTCTAACAAATCCCTGTTTTCTCGGCTGCAGAAAAACCCCTTCTACATCAAACCCCGTGTTGCGGTTCACTTCTTCGGTGTCAAACACTATGCAGGAGAGGTGAGGACAAAGTGCTAAAGCTGCTGAGGTTAAGAGAAGCTGCTCTCTGATGCCCACTTGTGGCTTCCTGCAGGTGGTGTACGACGTGAGAGGAATGTTGGAGAAAAATAGAGACACTTTCAGAGATGACATCCTCAACCTGCTGAGAGAGAGCAGGTGATGATGGTTGGATCATTGGATGGATGGTGGTTGGATGGATGGACACACGCTGTCTGAAATTAAAAAATATGTTCATCTGTATAAACTGTTTTCTCCTATTGGTCCACTGCTGCCTCTGTCACTTAGTTCAAAGGTGTTACTTTGGGTCTGACTTTGGTCTGAACTAAAATCTCTGATTTTCTCCATGGACTTTGGTCTGAACTAAAATCTCTGATTTTCTCCATGGACTTTGGTCTGAACTAAAATCTCTGATTTTCTCCATGGACTTTGGTCTGAACTAAAATCTCTGATTTTCTCCATGGACTTTGGTCTGAACTAAAATCTCTGATTTTCTCCATGGACTTTGGTCTGAACTAAAATCTCTGATTTTCTCCATGGACTTTGGTCTGAACTAAAATCTCTGATTTTCTCCATGGACTTTGGTCTGAACTAAAATCTCTGATTTTCTCCATGGACTTTGGTCTGAACTAAAATCTCTGATTTTCTCCATGAGGTTTGGTCTGTGAACTACAGGATATAAAATAAATGTTTTCTGGGCATCTTTCAGGTCTGACTTCGTCTACGATCTGTTCGAACACGTGTTGAGTCGGAACAAACAGGACACGCTGAAGATCGGTTCCAAGCACAGACGGCCCACGGTCAGCTCCCAGTTTAAGGTCAGTTCCAGAACCAAGGACCACGTCTTTCTGTAGACAGTGGATTTGGTAAAGTGCCTTTTATCACTAATCATTTTTATAGATCAGGATGGCGCCCTCTATTGGCACAAATCAGCTAAATATGTCCTTTTTTTTTCTTGCGACAGTGGGGACAGTACAGATTATACTAAGAACAAGACTCGCGGCTAACCTTTAGATAAACCTTAGCTCAACGTTTCCTTGTTCTTTTGTTGCAGAATTCTCTGCACTCGCTGATGTCCACGCTGACGTTGTCCAATCCCTTCTTTATCCGCTGCATCAAACCAAACACACACAAGGTGAGTGAACGCACACACACACACACACACACACGCTGTCTGACATCATCACAGAGGGAGTGTCTGACATGAATTCTCCTGCAGCGACTTTGACCTTTGACCTTTGGCGGTTCCTCGGTATCTCAACAAAAACGATCACGTCGTATCTACGGCCCCCGAGCCGACGTTAGCCACAAAGTTTAAAACTTTTCCAAACAGAGTTACTAATCAGTATTTTTCTAGTTTGCTGTTGACGCCCCCTGCTGGTCATCAGTACTGCTGCAGAGTGCTGTGGTGTGTCAGCCAATACAAAGTCAGCTCCACATTTGAATGTAAACAGGCAGACTTGGCAGCAGGCTGGTTGCCGTGGTAACCACACCCCTCCCTCTGGTCAGTATAAAGACAGAGTTCGGTCTGTGGAACGCCTTTGTTGGACTGTGAGACAGAGACAGAGACAGAGAGACTCAGTGAGACGACACTCTTCACAGCGTTAGCTTTAGCCTAGTTTCTTTAGCCCCTCTGAGCTGAGGAGAAATAAAAACTCCTGGAGCCACCTGATGATGATGATGATGATGATGATGATGAAGATGAAGATGAGACACCGTGAGAATCTTTCAGTTACTTTACACATTTGAAGATAACACTAACCCAGGCTTTGTTTGTTTGAGCTAACATTGAACTCTGAGCTGTCCCTAAGCTGCAGCTAATGTTTTTTCTCTTTGTAGCTAACGCTCTGATTCTCTTCCATTTTCTTTGAACTTGTTAGTTCCAGTTCTTTAGGTGAATGTTTTCCACCTCTTGGGGGCAGTGTTGCTAATTGTTTTCAGTTGTGGTTTAGTGACTTTTACTTTTTTTTTTTTGGTCATTAAATTTCCACTTTTTTTATCCTCCTCTATGTTAGCATCGACTTGTTAGCATCGACTTGTTAGCATCGACTTGTTAGCATCGACTTGTTCTGAAGTGAAGGTTCTCACAGAGACTTGTTCTGTCTGGACTAAATCAGATCCAGTTTTGACCTTTTTTTTTGGGGGGGGGGGCTAAGCTAACCTTAGCTTCTCCTGATTTTCCCCTTCGTTTCTTTCTGGTTTCACCTTTGACCTCTGCGTTGCTAACCTTTATCAAACTGAGGACTAACAGGCGTTTTTGTCCCCCCGTTCAGGCACCTGAGCAGTTTGAACAAACCCTGGTCCTGAACCAACTCCGATATTCAGGAATGCTGGAGACCGTCAAGATACGACGCACAGGATTCCCGGTCCGAAGAACGTTCCAGGACTTCTGTTCCCGGTCTGTCCTGTTTCCTGTCCTCCACATCAGACTGTGGTTTGAAAACTGCCCTTTGAAACTCTGGCTCTTCTTCAGGTACAAGGTTCTGATGCGGGACGTGTCGACGGCAGATGACTCCAGGGGGCGCAGTCTCCAGCTGCTGCACCACTACGACAGCACCGAGGCAGAGTGGCAGCTGGGAAAAAACAAGGTGAGGGACCAGGACCAGGAGTCAGCGCCCCCTATAGGCGGCCCCAGAATGTAGCTTATCTCAGGCTGGGCTGAATGAGAGGTTGATGTGTTTGAGGTTCACCCCCCCCCCCCCACCACCCACCGGGCCTTTATACAAAGATTAATGATGATGAACTT